CTCCAGTAACGCCATTCCCATGGGTGGAGGAGGGAGTCCCCCAGATGACGATGGCGACGACGACCCGTCTGACAAAGGAAAGGGCAAGGAAGCAGAGAAGCAGCGCGACTTTGCTGACCTCGAGGCTTCGTTGCGACGTTTCGTACTGGAGAAGAGGGCACGATCCAAGCTGGCACCCGCGAAGACCTATCTCCTGAACGTCCTAGGAGACATGAACAATCTCGCCACTGTCAACCGAGATGTCTCCCAGAGCGAATTGGACCGTGTCACCAAGGAGATTCAGGCGCTCGAGCCCGAGTTTGAAGAGTCAAAGAAGTCACGGACAGAAGCCGGAGAGGCAGTTGATCGTATGGTAGAAGACACAACATCAGACGTCTATGGCCACACCCGGGACACGCTCAACAACTCTATCGCTAGGGTGGCAGAGCAGGATCTTGGCATTGAATACCCTGGCCTCTTCTCAGCTTACCAGTACGCCGAGGATATCAGAGACTCCATGCTCCACGAAATCACTGAAGCGGTTCGCATGTGCGAAGAGCATGCACGAACCCAAGCGGTACAAGGCTACAACGGCATCAAGAACTTGGGTGTTTTGCACCTTGGTAACAATCTGTATGCCGATGTCATGTTCCGCCCAGAGAGGATGTTTAGGAAGTCAGTGCACGCTCTCGCCCGCCAGGTCGACATCGACATCGACCTATGGGACTTCTTCGATGTTGCCAGTCTATGGGAACGACAAGAAAAGGCTGCCGGTGCTGGTATGGCCATGACTGTTGCCGGTGTAGTAGGTGGCAGGTTGGTCGGTGGCGTCGGCTGGCTAGACGGTGCCCTCGGTGCTGCAAAGGTGATGGGTACGAGCAACATGAGGAGACTGATCATTCCCGGTCTCATCGCTGGTGGTAAGCACATCCTTTCGCCGTTATCTGATCTATGCTAACGTCTCTAGTTGCTCTCGGAGTATCATACGTCCTGGCTTCCGTGCCCAAGTCGCTACCTCACCGTCTCAGCGCAAAGCTATCTCAACAGCTGTCAGCGATCGACTACACACACTCCAACGCCCTTCGCATCAGCTCCGAGGTTCGCCGCGCACTCAAGGGCCCTGCTAACGATGTGCGTATCGGTCTGCAGAGGAACGTCGAGAAGCTCCAGTTGCAGAAGGAGGAGACAACGAAGCTCAAGGCGGAAACCGAAATCGCTCGCAAGTACTTCGGCAACCTCGTCCGCAGCAGCAACGACCTGCGCCAGACTGTCCAGCGTGTTGACCTGGAGGCCGCGCCACCAGCGATTAGCAGCCCGATGCAGTAGATGTTATGCCCTTATGCTATTTGAAAGAGTCACGGCTTACGCGTACGACGAAAAGGTTCAGCATGGAGGCGTTTGCAGGTGTTTACGATAGGCCATGATAAAGTAATCTTGCCTGCTTTCTCGGTGTACATAGAATTGACCCAATACCCCTCTTGCCCTTTGGCCGAAATCGATAGATAGATACATCCAAACTCTGAACATGTGAAATGATGATAGTTTTGAAAGCTACTTTTTGCCAAGCTGTCGTGCGTGGACCCTGTACGTTGATAGCAGACACGCGTGAGTCGAGACCTCGGATCTGCGCACGTCATCCGTCCAACGCTACCTACCGTTGCATTCCCGCCTGCCTGCATCCACCCGCTCCATGGCGGCTCATGCACGACCGAAACCGCCCTGATGGAAACTAGAAGAGACCCTCGATCCTTCCTCTTTTTTATAATCCTGCTGCTGCTCATCAACTCGCCCGAACAGCAACAGCCAACCTTCAATGCGCGCACCCGCTACCGAGAGCTCATCGAGCGCGAATACTACCAACTCGATATCCTGAATCGGACGCGATACGGCGATTTCAACCCAAGAAAAGACAGGTGGCTCAATGTCACTGGGCTACGGGATGAGGATGGCTTTGCGTGGGACTTGCTGGACCCAGTGAGGCAAAAGGCAAAGGCGCAGTCTGAGCGACTACTGGGAGATGGGTGGAAGCGCATGCTGGATGGACCGCTGCAGGAGGGGGAGGCTGGCATGCCGGTATACAAGAATCTGTCTGGCTACGTGCAGGGAGAATGGACGCGCTCGCCTCTGAGTCGCATACGGCATCCCAGCGACATGGGCAACGCCTCGGCCATACCCGACGATCCCTTCGGAAACATGGCGGTATACGACAGGAACTTGACCGGTGCAGGTGGGCCATTGCGGATACACGTCACAGAGCTAGAAGACAGAATGCGGAGAAATGCGAACAAGACGATATCAGAGATCAGCGCGAAAGTGGTCATCGGAGACAAAGATAGCTTTGGAGGGAACTGGTGGGAGTTTGTCGCACACGGCGTTCACTTTATGAAGAGTGGAACCGCTGTTCTGACTACTACGAGTGATCGGTTTGCAGGCATCTTCGCTTTGCCTCATCTGCAGGTCACGCCCTACTTCTACTCGACGTCCCAGGAGTTCCTCAATTGGACGATACACGAAGCTATAGAACGGCAAGAGAAGAGAGCTTTCCCGAACTGGAACCCCTGGACATCCGCTGCGGAGGGCAACAATGAAGGCACGTTCCAAGGGCACCACTGCGAGTTTGTCTTGTATCTCCAGGAATTTCCAAGTCAATCGAACGTCGACATGGACTGGCTCGAGCACGAGCTCCGCTTCCCTACTGGCGCTCCTATCCCACACAATATCCCCCACGCCATGTCTATGGTCGGCTTCTCTCCAGATTGTGGTTTCGTGATTGAGTCAAAGGGTCCTCCAGATTTCCCGCCATCGGAAGCCATGCATCTGGTCGGATCCAAGACGGAAGACTTCAATGTCCGCGCGAGACACGGAATCCTCGCCTTTGCCATCAGTCTTGCGTTTCAGCTGTCTTTTACCCTCAAGCAGATGAAGGAGACCGCAACGCCGTCCATGCGCAGCCGGGTCAGCTTCTATACCATTGCTATGATGGCCCTTGGAGATGGCTTCACATTCTTGATACTCATCTTCATGTACTTCTTCCTCGGTACGGCACAGTTGGCGCTCTACAGTATTGCGTTCATAGCGCTTTTCTCTGTACTGACACACCTTCGCTTCTTGATGGATATCTGGTCCGTACAAGCAGCGGAGAGAGCCCGCCAGGAGCGACAACGAAGTCCTGCAACCACCACTGCGACTCCGACTCCGGCTCCCGAGGCTGCAGCTCCGTCACCGCCCACTGACGGTGGACTACCTCTGCCAGCTACTGCCGCTCGACCGCCGCCACGTCCACCTACCCCCATCATCATTGCACCAGACCAGGACGACCCCGACGAAGACCTCACTCCAGAGCCAAACAATACGCCCACCCCGGCCGGCGCTGCGACGACAAATGCGAACCCTCGGGCCGAGCTTGGTGCACTTTACAGTCGCTTTTGCCTTATGCTCATAGTTCTGTTCTTTGTAACAATACATTTCGGAACTGCTCGCACAACCTACCGCGCGATCTACTTCGACGTTATCACTTTCGTCTATCTCTCGTTCTGGGCACCGCAAATCTACAGAAACATCATGCGCAACTGCCGGCGAGCACTACGCTGGGACTACGTTGTAGGAACAAGCGTGGCCCGCATCGCGCCTGTTGCATACTTCTACATGAAAGACGACAATGTGCTGTTTTCAAAAACAGACTGGAGAGCAATGGGTTTCCTCGCAGGTTGGGTGTGGGTTCAAGTGGTAGTGTTGGTGAGCCAGGAAATGTTAGGTCCACGCTTCTTCATCAGAGACGGATGGGCACCCCCCGCATACGACTACCACCCCATTCTGCGCGAAGACGAAGAAGGCGCAACGATGCCTCTCAACATCACGACCTCGACAGACTCACCCACCACAATCGACGCCTCTGCCCCCGAGAGCGAATCCTCCAAAGCCTCTGGCGAATCCAAATCCAAAGGCAAGAAAGTATTCGACTGCAGTATCTGCGCCAACGACATCGAAGTCCCCGTCATACCCGCAGGGGCTGACGAGAACAGCGTGGCTGGGATGGGTGGGACGAGTATGATTCTACAAAGAAGGCAGTACATGGTTACGCCTTGTCGGCACATATTCCATACTGGGTGTCTGGAAGGGTGGATGCGATATCGACTTATGTGTCCGAATTGCAGAGAGAGCTTACCGCCGTTGTAGGCTAGATAGCTTGAATACAGTAACATTCTTCGCATTTTGCATCAGCATCATCAGGAGAGGATCTTGGGATCAGCATGCATACCTGATGATGTAGGTGACGCATGTCTCACTGTCCGCGTAAACAAGTGGATCTTATGCCTTTTAGTGCGTCTGCCAGCTCCACTTTCCGCAGTGGCAGCAGCAGCGCAACGGTAACTGCCACGAGCTCCAGGGGTTTGCACGTGGTTCCATGCCAGCGCGCAGTCGCATACTTGTGACAACTAAAACTAGATACATCGTACATTCACATTGCCACTTTCTACGTCAATTCAGTGTATGTCGGTGATTCCAAGGTGTGCGGCAGTTATTATTAGCACGTCTACGCCACAGATCGCCGCTTAGACGCTAGGTTGTAGGGTACAGCATCCATTACCGGTTCCACAGCTGGGGCTGAGCATCACTCGCTTTCTGCCCCGGTCGGTCTCTGCATACGCAAACCGCAACCCTCAGCCTCTCGTTTCCTACATTCGCTTCGTTGCTGCATTGTGTGCTGGCGTTGGTGCATATAACAACGGGTGCCTGAGTTTTTGGATTAACGTGTTCTTCTTGTTCCTCTTTCGTGTTTCCGAGACGCCGAAGGAACCCCTGGACTTACACAAGGCTTGCGCGAGGCTTGTTCCGGAGACGACTCGTCGCACGCCCCCCAGCTTAAGCAAGGCCAAACCCTTCGTCTACCCCACAACTTCATTGTTCGACAGTGCCGACCTCACCTGTATTGCGCCCTTCGACACGACGTACTCGTGCTACTGTTGCGCATCAAGTTGTGCACATTCGCGCCTTCCTAATATCACAAGTGCCTGCCCATCATGGCGGCCAACGACTACTACGGCAACACCCAAGGGCAGTCGCATGACAGGAACGATGGGCCTCTGCCGCCGATACCCAGCAACCATACGCAACACTCCATCTCGCCCGTCAGCACGCCCTTTGGCGACCGGCCCTACCCAACCCAAACCGCAAGCAGCGGAGCCCTCGGCGGCTACCCCATCGATACATCGTATTCGAATACCTCATACCAGCCTCCCACACAATATAGCTCGACGGCACACATCAACGACCCGTACGCGCGGCAACCAGACCCGTTTGCCGACCAGAACGCAATACCGCTTCAGAACCAACCGAAGATGGATGGCAGCAGTCCGACGCGGTATAATGGTGACCCAGAGTACTATGGCATGGGCGTAGAACCAAGGCGGAGAAAGAGTAAAAAGAAGAAAGGCATGTTCAGTGGGAGGGTGACGTGGGTTGTGTACATTCTTACGGCGGTGCAAGTCGGTGTATTCGTGGGAGAACTGATCAAGAATGGTACGTCTGGCACCTGTCAGTATAAGAAACAGACTAACAACCCCCAGGCATGTTAACAGGCAGTCCCATCCAAACGAAACCCAACTTCAACATCATGATCGGTCCCTCGCCCTACGTCCTCATCAACATGGGCGCGCGCTTCACACCCTGCATGCACAACATCAAGCGCGTCATCGAAGCGCAACCAGGCCCCGTCGTAGCCTGGCCCTGCCCCAACACGACGACCCTCACAGACAACAAATGTACCCTCGCCGAACTCTGCGGCATGGGCAGCGGCGTCCCCGACCAAACCTCCGTCACAGACTTCAAAGACCGCAGCCACGAACCCAACCAGTGGTGGCGCTTCATTACGCCCATCTTCCTCCACGCAGGACTTATTCATATTGGCTTCAACATGCTCCTCCAGTGGACACTAGGCCGCGACATGGAAAAGGAAATCGGTCCCCTCCGCTTCGCACTTGTATACTTCTCCGCTGGCATCTTCGGTTTCGTGCTCGGCGGCAACTATGCCCCCGACGGCATTACTTCCGTCGGCGCATCAGGATCCCTCTTCGGCGTCCTCGCACTCACCATGCTGGATTTACTGTACAATTGGTCTACACGCCGCAGTCCCGTCAAAGACCTCCTCTTCCTCCTCCTCGACATGGCCATCGCTTTCGTCATCGGCTTACTCCCTGGTCTGGACAATTTCTCCCACATCGGCGGCTTCCTCATGGGAATCGTACTGGGTATCTGCATTATCCATTCTCCTGAATCTCTCCGTGCACGCACGGGCCAGAGTGAACCCCCGTATGCGACTGTAGACACGGCTCCTCTAGCTCATTCTGCATCTCTCGGTGCGGACGGAGATGAGGGCAGTAAACCAAAGACTAGCAATAGCAAGATTACGGCGTTTGCGAAACAGCCCGTGGGCTTCTTCAAGGGGAGGAAGCCGCTCTGGTGGGCGTGGTGGCTTGTCCGTGCGGGCGGGCTGGTGGCGGTGTTTATCGGATTTATTCTGCTGTTGCGGAACTTTTATGAGTGGAGGAATACGTGTAGTTGGTGCAAGCATTTGAGCTGTTTGGTAAGTTTTATCCCCCTTCTATCCATGCCCATCTTGGGTTGTATCTGGTGGGGAGTATGGGTTTGCTAACGACATTCTTAATAGCCCATCACAACAAACGGAGTCTCATGGTGCGATATGGGAAGCCTCAATCTCACGACGACGGACGCGCCGAGCAAGAGGAGTCTGAATCCAAGTCATTTGCCTAATATGATGGCGGAGATGGCGGTGGGACGGATCATGTAGATGCGGAAGTGGGTAGTTGAGATAAAAAAAGATGATATGCGAATTGTGTGGTTTACAATCAACGGCCTCTGCACTCAGAATCGATGGAGCATACATACCAAGTATTCAACTTTCATGTCCACCAAAGAAAAAAACCGAACAGGCCTGCAGCCTACATTAACCTGGAAGCATACAAGATAGATGACCTGGCGTCGATGTAGGCTCCAGACTTGTTCGGTTTTTTTGCGTGTATGAGGTGCTTCGGAAAACTGCATTTTTCTACTGCTAAGTTGGGTACCTTTTCTCTATATACCATCATGATCGATCGACCCGGGAGAGCACAGTGAAGCACTCCGATTGGGGGAAATAATAACTAGTGCCACCTTGATAATGCCATGTGCAATCCACCAGATACCGACTGGTCCCTGAGGTAGTCAATCTCGTCTCAGGGTTTTTGTCACCAAAGCCACACACACAAACTCCATCCCATCCCTACCGCACCACCATCACCTCACTTCACCACCGCGATCCCCCGCCCATGCCCCCAATCGTTACACCCTGCCTAACCGGATCCTTCCAATCCGGCGGCGTGGTCACCGCATACTGCAGATAGCTCGCAACCGGCGGCTTGTACAACTCCATATGGCCGGTCTCAGAGTTCTGGATCATAACAGAACGCGTATTAAGGTGATCAGGCCGAATCTTCTCCTCGACGCCCAAGAAGCCGCCGGACATTTGGTCGAGGAAGATGCCGAAGTCGTCCGTCTGGTTGATATTGCAGCGGGCGCCGCGCGACTCGCAGTGCGCCATGAGTGCGGTGGCGTGTTTGAAGTATTTGAGGCACTTGGGGCATTTCATGCGGGTTATGCGGTGATCGCCTAGGATGTGCGTGTTGAGGTCGCTTGGGATGGGGAAGGATTGTCTAGGGTTGGATTAGAGAGGGAAGGGGACTGAGGATGGGATGATGGACTTACTCGCAGATGAAGGGACAGAAGTACTTGCTGACGATAGGGTCATAGAACCGGTCGGGGTTCCAGTCGTCACTCATGGGATCCCAGAAACGATCGCTGAGGAGGTTGGGACCGTGCTCCTTTTCCATGATCTCGTCGTGGGCAGAGATGGAGAAGTCGCTGGGAGGGGCCTTGGGCTTAGCGTTGGGGAACAGGACAGAGCTTGTTGTCTTGCCTTTGCGCGAGCCCCAGACCTTGGTTTGGCGACTGGACGGCTGGGTGTTTGAACTCTGAACGGCCGAATCGTCATGGACAGAAGAGCAACTCTGACCTTGATGAGAGTGTCCGGGAAGAGAACTAGTACGTGCAGGATATCCAGTGACGACAGGAGATCCAACGGCTGTTGAACAATCGGAGTCATTGTCAGCATCTCCGTTAAGAGAGATGCCCTCCATCATCGGCGCGATTGCCGCGTCTACGTCCGGAATGGACTTAGCCTGAGAGGGAAGAGGAGGGTACCGGCCATAGAAGACTGGGGGATCCTCATCTTCGGATTTCTCCGGCTTGATCGCCTCGTACTTGACGTCTCCTATCTCATGCTCGTCGTCTAAAGGATCGTCATCAAGCGATACTCCAGTCCTCCGAACATCATCGTCGATGGCTGCCTCGTACTTGGACGTCTTCTGCAGAAAGCGAGTCAATTGCTGGCCGTCCTTCAACAAATCTGTAATCAGATGTTTGTGAACAATGTGGCCTTGAAACTGGGCTGCGGAAATGACGTCGCAGTGGCCGAACTCAAGATGCTCGATGAAGAGGCATGCGCGGTAGAATGACTTCTGGCAGCCGATGCAAGTGAGCTTCTGGTTGACCTTGTGGTTGAGCTCGATATGGCGCTTGAGACCTGACTTGCTCTTGAACTCGTCACCGCAGACGCGACATGCCAGGTTGTGCTCTTCCGGACGCGTGATCTTATGCATGGCGTAGTCCTCGAAAGTATCAAAGTCCTCATCGCATTTGTGACAGTACTCGTGTTCATCAGTGTGCTTCTTGTGGTTCTTCATGATCTTCTCCGTCTCGAAGGACATGTTGCAGTCTTTGTAAGTACACTTGACGCGTCGGATTGGCTCAAGTGTGGCTGGCATCTTGGCTTGTGGTTGTGATCGACTCTCGTGAGTTCGTGGGGGTGAAACTTGGAGGTACGGGCTTGATTCGTTTCTGCAATGCGCAAAGTTAGTCTCAAGGCAATCAAGAACCGTGGCATCAAAGGTGCGCTCACCTGCGCGTGCGAAATATGTAGGTTGTCGTCTTGATTACGCTTGTGGGATGGGCAGCCCTGGGTTGTATAGTGGTAAAGGTGACGTGACTGCGCAGGCGTCAAAGCTTCTATGCTCTGGGGACCAGCAGCGTACCACGAGATACCAGTAGAGAGTTGTGTGTTGACTTAGCCGATTCCAGGAGTGAGACGTTTGTTTTGGTCGACCGTGTGCTGAAGGAAGAGCTTGGTCGTGGCCGAGCCAATGCAGAAAAGATGGTGGTGTTAGAAGGATGGATTCTTGTAGTTTGAGGTTTTTATGTAGCGAGGGGAAAGCTAGCGGTGTGAGGATGAGTTAGGCAGGCATGACAGGTGAGGGAGATTATGGGCAAGAGCGGTGGGTTTGCGCTCTCACCTAGGAAGCTGCACCATAGATCAACAACAACTCCACCATGGACAACAAGTATGGACCCCATGGCAAGAATCGCAGCACTCCAAACACGATACGATACATGAAAAGAACAATAAGCAATGACTACAGGTATTGACACGAAGAATCACAATTACAAGAGGCTATACTTGGCATGGATCACATCTTTGGTTGCTATTACGATGCGACTAGAATCGCGAGTATGGTAGCCTAGAAGTCTGTCAGTAACCGTCGAGGACATATACACTATCACATACCATTTGCCTCTCAGCGTGATCTTGGCCCACTCGCCCTTGTCATCCGTCTCCTTCTCTACCTTTGTGCTGAACGAGATCGCACTCATGATGCCATCACCAAACTTCTCGTGCATAACCGCCTTGTACGCCTGTCCGTAGTTCTGCACAATCTCGTATAGGCGGTAGATGGTCGGGTCCTTTGGTGGCATGTCGAGCGTGCTGCCTCGGTTAGGGAAGCCTCCAAGCTGCGATTCGAGCAGCCCAGCGTCGATCTCTAGAATTTCAGACAGCTTCTTGATGTCCTCGGCGGATGCCATGGCTTGACCGTAAAAGAGAGCGGCGATTGCTACTTCATCGCGGCCGACGTGCTTTGCGATGGCTTCGAAAGATAGGTTCTTCTTCTTCTTTGCTTCGAAGAGGGTTGGGGAGGAGGGAGGCAGGCGAGGGATGAGCTCTTCCTATGCGGTCGTTAGTGTCGCCCGACAAACATTCGTTTTCTCCTTACGTTCAAAGTAGCAATTGGGTGTTGCGCCATGGCAATAGGCGTTGAGTGGAAGCAACGGGTAGCTGCGAGAGGGACAGCAGGTCGTATAGATCCAAATGTGCGAGAGGCCAACCTGGCAGAAAGCGCAAGACGAGATGAGAAAGCCATTGTAAAGATATAGCAAATTGAGGAGATGGCTATGTCAACGATGTTGTGTAACGACGTGGGCAGATAAGAAGAGGAGCTCTCCAGCTACCGAACCGCTCTCAAGCAGCCGATGATACAAGGGTACGTCATCCATGTACGTCTGCCGCATCTCCATGCGGCCCACAAGTTGTGTGGACTCTGGAGCGGGCGCTTTGTACCATCTAGGAAGCCTCTACTACAGCTCTCTTTGGCGTTCGCAACGCGATATGGTGGTCGGACTGCTACCACCACATGTCGCGCAGCATGGCGAAGCTGTCAAGAGAGGGGGAAGCCCCGTACATAGTGGGGTACTCCAGGGCTATGAGGGGCTACATGCTGCATCCTAGCGCCGGTACGCGCCTGGCCAGCAGAGACGGAAATCAGGGTGCGCGCACTTCATTGGTGTCTGTTTCACATGTTCAGCTCCCACGCTCGGGCTTCCCTGCATTGCATGTGCGTGGTCCGTCGCGCTGAGATGATGACGCGGGGTCAATTCGGCCTCGAGCTCCAACTCTGAATCTCCAGCACACCCCGTCCACTTAACATCCTTCGCGCTGAGTGGCAAACAACCAGAAGCCTCAGTCCGGCACAATGTCTCGCCGAGACGATGATCTGGCATATGGCGACTACCATGGGCAGGAGGGCGACGAGGGAGATCGCGGCCTTATAGGCGACATGGGTCGGCGTTTTGGCTTTGGCAGAAAAGAGGTCAGTACATTCCTTTGAAACGCCATGCGGTCATTTTACGCTCCATGTGTATCGCGCTGTTGAGGAAGTGGAATTGCCCCACTACCCGAAAGTCATAGCGTTGGGCTGCCTCGTCATTCACTGTCTTCGCGTATCTTGCGTTCCTATTCTACACCGCCTAGCTTGCTGCAGGGACAGGACGCGTATCTAGAAGCTTGTCTTGGATCTACAAATTCCTAACCTCAACACCACAGAACAACCAACCCGCTTCTTCATCTTCAAACCAGGGCAGCGGCGGCATGTCGTTCTTCAAGAAGATCCACGACCCTCTCCACGGCTTCGTTTCCGACCTCAAAGATGCCATTTCCGGTGATGATAATGCGCAAAAGCCCCCGCCGGGTACATACCAACAGCAAGGTCAGCAGGGTGGACAGCCACAGCCTGGGCAAGAGTACCATCAACAACACCGCTTCTTGAGCTTCGCGCCTGAACGACATGGCAACGAGACCAAGTGGTATGTTGACGGCTGCAGGTAAGTTTCTGGTATCCATGTGCTAAACACGAGTTGCCAATTGACATGTGTAGCTACATGTACGCTGTCTCCATAGCATTGGAACGCGCCAAAGAGTCAATCTGGATTCTCGACTGGTGGCTGTCTCCCGAGCTGTATCTTCGCCGACCGCCCGCCAAGAACCAACAGTACCGGGTCGACCGATTGCTACATGCCGCAGCGGAGCGAGGCGTCAAGGTCAACATCATCGTGTATAAGGAGGTTACACAAGCCCTGACTCGTAAGTTTTTGAATCCAACGTTACCAGACTATCTTCATTCTCTTTTACCGAGTTCGACGGATAGGTTCACCAAAGGCCTTACGCGGGTCGGCCTAGATGTTATATTCAAAAGTCTTGAAGAGTGGGAAAAGACAGATCCGCTGATTGCCCCTCCTATTACAGTCTCCTCGTCTCACACCAAACACCACTTGGAAGATCTCCACCCCAACATTGGTGTCTTCCGACACCCCGACCATTTGCCAGATGCCGCGGTACTACAGTCTTCCTTCTTCGCATCGATGAAGAACATGTCCTTCACCCCAGCAAAGCTCGCCCAGCTTCCTGGAGACGGTTTAAAGGCGATCTATGGTGCTCACGAGGGTACTGTTATGTACTGGGCTCACCACGAGAAGCTTTGCCTGATTGACGGTCACATCGCATTCATGGGAGGATTGGATCTTTGCTACGGTCGTTGGGACACTAACCAGCACGCAATTGCTGACGCGCATCCCGGCAACATCGACCGAATCGTGTTCCCAGGTCAAGACTTCAACAACGCTCGTATGCTAGGTAAGTCATTGTCGTATTCTGGGACTGTCAGACGGCAGATAGGCGGTCTCTTCTTACGTGAGGCGGTGATGTTTGCTAACACTAAGTAGACTTCCAAGACGTGACCCACTGGGAGAACAACAAGCTCGACAGGACCCAAAGCTCTCGCATGGGATGGTCTGATGTAGCTCTGTGTCTCTCGGGCCCAGTAGTACAGGATCTTCGTACTCACTTTGCCCAACGTTGGAACTTCATCTATGACGAGAAGTATTCTCACAAATCTTCCAGATACACCAGGTTACCAGACACTGGCAGCGGGGCTCAACAGGCACCTTCAACGCAACAGCGAGGATTCGAAGGCGAAGAAGAGGGTGAACGCGGGTTTGGTCGCGAAGAGGAGGGTGAGCGTGGGCTGTTCGGACACGGTGCTGGTGGGCACCTTCGCCAAAAGATGCAGAGCAAATTCGAGCAGTACGGTGGCCAAGAGTATGGATCACAGCACGGTGGACAACAATCGCACGCGGAACACAGCTCCCAGAGGGGTGGTGTGGACTGCCAGATTGCCCGCAGTTCTGCCAAGTGGAGCCACAACTTGGTCACTACCGAGGTCAGTGATGTCTCGGACCAGGAAGAAACCAACTAACGATCTTCTAGCATTCCATTCAGAACGCTTACTGTGAGATCATCAAAAACAGCAAGCACTTCATCTACATCGAGAACCAGTTCTTCATCACCGCCACTGGCGATCAACAGAAGCCGATCAAGAACAAGATCGGTGCGGCCATGGTCGAGCGCATCGTTCGTGCTGCACGAAATGGCGAGAAGTACAAGATGATTGTCATGATTCCTGCAGTGCCCGCTTTTGCTGGTGACTTGAAGCTTGACGAGGCATTGGGCACTCGAGCCATCATGGAGTGTAAGTCTGATTCTTCTTTCACGTATGTGTTATGCTAACGACGATGTCACACAGTCCAATATGACTCCATCAACCGTGGTGGTCACTCCATCTATGAAGAGATCGCCAGAGCCGGATTCAACCCAATGGATTACATCCGATTCTACAACCTTCGCAGTTATGATCGCATCAACTCAAGCTCGGTCATGAAGGAGGCGGAGCAACGTAGTGGTGTCTCTTACACCCAGGCTCAAGAAGGTTACGATGCAGCACACGATAACGCGCGTGGCTACGAAGCCTACCGGCCACCACCCACCCAGGAGTATGGAGTGTATGAGATGGATGGGTCTGGTCGTCCTCCTTCTGGACACCAGCAGTACGATGCTGGCCCGCAGAGTCAGGGTAGGCCCGGCGATTACGACCGCTACCAGCAGGAGGCTGTCAAGATCGGTGGTCGACAAGGCCTTGGCGATGGGCGTTGGGACACCGTCAGCGAATGCTACATGCTCGGTGGAGAGGACATCCGCCGTGTACCTTGGGAGGGCTCTGCTGAAGATGAGATGGACGCTTTCGTCTCTGAAGAGCTATACATCCATAGCAAGCTCCTCATAGCTGACGATCAGATCGTCATCTGCGGTTCAGCCAACCTTAACGACCGCTCCCAGCTCGGCGACCACGACTCCGAGATTGCAATCATCATCCAAGACCCCAAGACCGTTGATTCATACATGGACGGTCGACCCTACCGCGCATCCGAATTCGCAGCCAGTCTCCGCAGAGAGCTCTTCAGAAAACACCTCGGTCTCCTCAAACCCCAAGACATGGAACGCCCAGACGCCAACTACCAGCCCATCGGTGTCCCCAATCAGTACGACTGGGGCTCCCCCGAAGATCTTCAAGTCGCCGACCCCCTCTCCGACGACTTCCAAGCCCTCTGGAACTGGCGCGCCCACACCAACACGCAAGCCTTCGGCAAAATCTTCCACCCCGTCCCCAGCGACGAAGTCAAGAACTGGAAGCAATACGACGAGTACTACTCTCGTTTCTTCGGCCAGGACCAAAAGGCAAAGGAGAACAAGAAGCCGAGCTTGTACAAGTGGGGTCATGTTGTTGCGGAGAACTTCCCCCAGGGCGAGCAGGGTGTCCGTGAGGTTAAGGAGGTGCTGAGTACGATTAAGGGGAATCTGGTGGAGATGCCGTTGCTTTTCTTGAAGGAAGAGGATATTGCGCAGGAGGGTATGGGGTTGAATGCGCTTACTGAGGAGCTTTACACTTAGGTTCGCGGAAAGTAACGGCCTGTGCTTCGATGATTAAGTAGGCTGAGAATGACATCTTTGTATCAAAAGCGCTGGAATTGGATGGAACAGGCTGAGTGAGCGATCACGGGTTTCAAGAAATGTAGTTGCATTGTGCATCATCGACAGGATTATGGTAACGTGTCTAGCTAGCTGCAGACCCTCGCCATCTCTTTTTGTTTCAGAGTAATAGTGTTAATGGCATTATAGTTGATCAATGTGAACAAGATGTTGTGAGCCACAAGGTGGTTCGAACAGTTGGTTGGATTCTGTGGGCACTGGAGGTTTTTTCCTCATATGGTATAATTAGTCATCAACTCACTTGCTCCTCTTGTAGATCTTCTGGAGGAAGACCTCGAAGACCACCTTCTTCAAGCCCTCGCTCTCATCAACTTTGTCGATCTTCGCCCTCAAATCGGTAACGCGCTCCTCTTCCCACTGCTCGTAGAACTCCTTCAGCTTAAGCTCGTGGTACAGCTCCTTGACCTTGGCCTCCTTCTGCGAGTCCTTCTGGCCGTAGTTCTCCTCTAGCAGCTTTCGCTGCTCGGGAGTGACCTTCTTCAGGGCCTGGTTGATCAGCCATGAGCACTTGTTGTCCATGATGTCGGTGCCAATCTTGCCGAGAACAGTGGGGTCAGCAAATGCATCGAGGTAGTCGTCTTGTGCTTGGAAGTATTCGCCCATGGGGATGAGAATGTCTTCGGCGGTCTGGAGGTTCTTAGGGGTAGCTGCACCGGCATAGTAAAGTGCCAATGCGACTGGGAGGTAGAAAGAGTAATAGGCAGTCTTGTAGATGACGATGAAGGTGAACTTGTCGAGACTGAAGTTGTCAAGGTTGACATCGTCCTCGGGTGCAGTCAATAGATCACACAATTGACCGCACTCGGTCTGGAATGTGACCTCGTGGAACAGCTCCATCATGTCTACGTAGCTCTTCTCCTGACGGAAGTGCTTCTTGAGGAGCACGTAAATGGCTGACTCGAGCATGAAGGCGTCGTTGATAGCAATCATGCCGACCTTGGGTGCAAGGTACCAGCAGGGATTGCCACGACGGGTCTTTGAAGAGTCCATGATATCGTCCGAGACCAGGAAGAAAGCCTGGAGGAGTTCGATCATCCATCCGAGCAGGGCAGCACGGAAGTACTCTTCTGATGATGGGTCAAGAGACTTGTTCTGCAGAATTGAAGTGGTGTCGATGACAGACATGCCACGGTTGCATTTTCCGCCGACAGTGTTGTAGTCCAGTGACTATGGACATGGTGAGCGAGCTGGACCCTGGATGCGTTCTTCGGGATATATTTACCTTGGTGAACCAATCAAGAGACTGCTGGGGCAGTTTGTATGATTTGCAGTGCTCCTGCAGGTCGGCCACAATGCGTGGCCATACGCTCTCGAATTCTTTGAGTGTGGTGGGCATCTTAAACGCAGTGAATTGGGTATCTCTGGACAGCAGTGTTCAAGATAGAGGGGCAGTAGCAGATGTAGGGGTGCGGGCGGTGAAGGGGCTAATTTCCGCGGCGCAGCGGCGCAACCTTTAACCGCTCGCCGGGCCATTGTTTGTGCCCCACCCTACCACGACAGGAAGCTCCCCATCAACACGCGCATCGGCGGCAGCGACATCACGCGATAGAGCCCTGAACCATGATCTGAAGCGCGCAGATAGTAATCTCTTCCTGATACCGACGCGATGGGAACTCTATCGCCGGCCGACGAGGCCCAACTCAAGGCCCAGCTCCAGGATGCCGTCATCGGCTGCACAGAGCGCTGTCTCTATCACTCGGCGAAATGGTGAGTAGCAATGGTTAGACAGACTGACTTTTGCATGCTGATATTGACAAGGGCCGCAGAATTACTCGATTCGCTCCCATCGGCCGATGACGAAGGCTCGGACACCGACGTCGACTCCCCCATGTCGGATGCGCAACCGCCGCAGACACCCAATCTCGTACGCAAAGACCCCATCGAAGCACGTCTAGAAGCACGTGAGACGCACAAGTTTCTCCTCGCCAAGACATATTTCGACTGCCGCGAGTATGATCGATGCGCCGCCGTCTTTCTGCCTGGCCCTCTGCCCAAGGGCGCCTCACAGGCACCTGCTACGCCTACAGCAAAGGCGAAGCAGGGAGCCAAGGGAAAGGCGAAGATGGTCACGCCGTCCAAGTCCAAGCTGTCCAACGACACGATGAAGGGCATCAGTCAGAAGGCGCTGTTCCTTGCCCTGTACGCAAAATACATCGCGGGAGAGAAGCGCATGAACGAGGATAGCGAGATGATTCTCGGACCTCAAGATGGAGGCGTCACCTTGAACAAGGAGCTGCCCACGGTATCTGCCGTTCTTGAAGAGTGGTTCAAAGACCTGCCCAACAGCGGGCGACAACCGCAGGGCTGGCTGGAGTACCTCTACGGCATGGTCCTGGCCAAGGGAAAGAACGAGCAGCTTGCTATCGACTACCTGGTCAAAAGTGTCCACCAATACACCTACAACTGGGGTGCGTGGCAGGAGTTGCAAGCTCTACTGACCACCATGGAAGAGCTCAACGCCATCGTCACACGCCTACCGCAAAACCTCATGACTTTCATCTTCCACGTCACTTCATCGCAGGAGCTCTACGTAGTCAACGAACAGATCCACACTTCCCTGTCGCAAATATTGACCATCTTCCCATCATCGGCCTTTCTCAAGACCCAACGGGCTTTACTCCACTACCACAACAAAGACTTCGACGATGCCGAACAGATCTTTTCAGACTTGCTAGTATCGGATCCACATCGGGTCGATCATCTCGACAATTACTCCAACATCTTGTATGTCATGGGCATGCGACCCAAGCTTGCCTTTTTGGCACAGCTCGCCACGGCGACCGACAAATTCCGACCGGAGACATGTTGCGTAGTGGGCAACTACTATTCACTCAAGTCGGAGCATGAGAAAGCCGTCATGTACTTCCGACGAGCTCTGACTCTAGACCGGACCTTCCTTTCCGCTTGGACGCTTATGGGCCACGAGTTCGTGGAGATGAAGAATACCCATGCCGCAATTGAATCATATCGTCGCGCTGTTGATGTCAATCGTAAAGACTACCGCGCTTGGTACGGACTTGGCCAGACGTACGAGATGCTGGAGATGCACTCGTACGCTCTTTTCTATCACCAACGCGCCGCTGCTCTGCGACCCTACGATCCGAAGCTATGGATGGCGGTTGGCCAATGTTTCGGCAAAGTGGGCAAGATCATGAATGGCATTCGATCATACAAACGCGCGTTGGTCGCAGGCTCATACTATGATGCCGGCGTTGGTGCCTCTTTCGGGAGTAGTGAGGTCACTGGTCTTGGTGGAGGTATCCTCGATCCCGAAGTACTCTACCAGATCGCACTGCTATATGAGAGGATAAACAATATGAACGAATGCGCGGCATACATGGAACTGGTGCTTGCGCAAGAAGAAGGGCCAGACTACGAAGAAGTGGGCTCCGATGCCGCCGGCGGTGTTGGCGTCACTGCGACGACCAGCAAAGCCCGGCTCTGGCTCGCTCGATGGGAGTACATGCGCGGCATGTACCAACGGGCCATGGAACTGGCGAACGAGCTCTGTCAAGACGGTGTAGAGGTAGAAGACGCGAAGGCATTAGTGAGAGACATCAGAGCACGTATGGAACGCGGCGGGGGAGACGCGGAAGATTGATTAGACACGGCGTCTCGAAAGTTTGGGCATTTGCAGGCGTACAGGTATGATACCCAAGCAATACTGGATCTCAACATGTATCATATACATTACTACTTGATAGCGCATTGCAGGATCTCGACATATTTCCAGTTCATCATTACACACGTGCTCGGTCCCATGACCCTGAAAGTTCACTTGCCGTACAGATGCACAGTCCTACCTTCGCCCCACCGCGGGTTTCCACCACTTTCCTTCTCCCAACGTTTATCTTCATCTTCCATCTCCCGCATCCGTGCACCTCCGTCCTTTTTCTTGATCCATGGTTCCGTCTTACCGTCTTTGCTGTTCTCTTCGCCCTCTGCGCTCGCGATCTTGCGACTGGCTTCTGCTAGAGCCAAGTCTTCGATTTCTCGCATCCGTAGCTCGGCTGTGATGTAGTTGAGCGTTCGCTGCATGTCGCGTGCATCGTGGCCGCGGCAGTCTAGGATGTAGAGTTGGTGTGTTATCGAGGCTTGCGCGGAGATGAGAGATGGAGTGGGCGAGAGCCGTATGGTGGTGGGTGCCCAGGGGTGGGGATGGGTGAAGGCGTTGAGGATTAAGGAGGTCGACATTGTGCTTGGTTGGTAGTGTTATGCTGCTGTGTCGTGCTGTTGTGCTATGCTGTTATGTTATGGAGGCAGGCCTATGATATGGAGCCTGATGTTTGGATCAGGTATGAAACAGTGGTCGAAGGGCGTGGACGAGGGAGAGCGGGGATTGGGTTGAGTAGGTATGTTATTCGCGTAACTGTGAAGGTTCGCTGACGTGACAGGAACACGGGCAACATGCACGTTGTTCAACGCACAACGTTTCCTCTAGCTGTCTACTGAAAAAGCTTGATTGCTGGTAACTGCGGTCGACAACATGATCGCTGGTAGCTTGTGAACTGTGTATCTTGGCATGTACACCTTATGACGTTTCCCAGATCATTCCGGCAGCCAGCGAACGAGGTATCTTGTCACAACAGGCGTGCGTGGAATCAATTCGTACTGAGGACCCTCAGTGGTGGTTGTGAATTTTGTATGGTACGAAGTGCATAAAACTCTGTTCCCTCCTTCTATTCTCACTATTCTACCAGCCCCGACATTACTTCGCCAACGACAGATTGATCAGACGAAGAAACTCACTTTACTTCCACCTCAAATCGATAACACATACGCTCTAATTACCTACCATGTCTTCCTGGGATGCGCGTGGAGGAAGCGGTTGGTGTATGCCCGACCACCCTTGGCCAAAGGCATTTATCGAGAAGCAGAGCTTGGAGTGGCTTCTTGAGGTACACAACAACATTTATCGCGACATACAGAGGGATCCCTTCTATGAGGATAACGCGGCATTACGGGGTTCGGCTAGCATCATTGAAGAGCATCTTAGGGCGCACGGCGCGGTCATGCTCGGGGAAGGAGGAGGGGTCGGGAGCGTCAACATTCAGATGTCAGCGCCAGTGCCAGTACCAGCGCCAGTCCAGGCGCAAATACAAGTTCAACAGCCGCCTCAGCAGAACGTCTTTGTTCATCAGCAAGTACAACAGCCACCAGTACAACAACCCGCACAGCAGAATGTCGTCTATCACCAGCAAGTACAGCCGCAGCCGCAGCCGCAGCAGAACGTGGTTTACCAGCAACTACAACAACCTCAGGTGCTCAGCATTCCTGCTCCCGTGGCCACACTGACTATGACCTCTACACCGGTGCAGAACTTTGTGATTGGGGGGATTGTAACACCACGCATCGGGTACAGGCGACGCCGTACCAGCTTTGATTGGCGGGGTTATTACGGTGGCGATAGTGACAGTGATGGATATTAAGGCTAGTTGGTACGATGGGTATTCTTGAGTGAAGGCTGGGGGATGGTGATGACGATGATGATAGTGTACTGAAGCCATTCCATAGCTGACGATCTTGAACAATGCATGTTTTACATTCTACGCTTATCTTCTTGGCGCCAGTGCCGATGGTTGATGTTAATCGTGGAATGAGAATGTTATCCCTCGTGTACTGGTCCACGGATATATCAGCGTTTGGTAGATAGAACATGCGTCGAGGTTGTCGCGAAACTAGATAAACTCAGTAAGGTGAGTACAAATATGATTTGATAATTCGACATCTTCGTTCATCATACAGATCATGACATGCCGACACAGGGAATGTTTTCTTCACAGTGATCGCACTCTCTACGTCAAGTTGTGATCGTGATTCTGCACAGCGACACGTTCTGAGGATCAAGTTCATACAGCATGCTGGCAATTGAGAGTTGTGCCAAAGCCCTAGATTCAATGTCTGTTTAGAATATAAACCCCCTCCCTAGAACACCCACTCTCTCTATCAAACACTACATTTTCTAGTTAGTTACAAAGCGCATCTCTATTAACTCCAAGCAAAGCCAACTTGTCCTCTTCGCCACACACGGTAAAACCACTCACAACACCGCTTATACACACTCGATATGTTCCGATCATCGCGCGGACCTGACCCCTTTTTGCACCTCCATCCTTGGGCGTACCATCACTTGAACCCTTTCTCGGATGATGAGCTCGTTGGTCTTTTCAATGCAATCGCCGACTTAATGTCTGGCAATATCTTTGCGGACCTCTTGGAGGAGACTAGAAACAGGATTTTGCGCACCCTTGAACGAAGGGGTAGCAATGCCATGGGTATATTCCCGGGCTCAAGCTTTGGAAGCTTTGGCACATTCCCACGCATGTCGTCATCTCTCTCAATCACACAGACAGCGCCAATGCCAAATGTCACCATCCAGTCCATTCCACCTCCACAGCAAAACATCACCTTCCAGTCCATTCCAGCGCCACAGCAAAATGTCACCTTTGTACCCGCTCCAGCCCCAGCTCCTCTACCGCCCCCAGCAGCGTTGCCAGACATTCATTATGTTACATTATATGGCCCATATGGTAATGTCATCGGAACCCGACTTGAGACGGAGAAAGAGAAGGACGACAGAGAATATGCGGCTTGGAAGGCGGAGCATGGAGCCAAGTAGGAGGCGTCAGGCTACGTTGGGCGAAAGGGGAAAGCACATAGTTTAGGAGGAGGGCAGGATGAGCATGCCGAAGTCGGAATTTGTTGCGCATATGGAAATGTCGAGGGACTATAGCTTGATGAATTAAACACGAAATTCATTTGGCAATAGCGTGTTCGGATTTGACCTCTAAAATGTCACACGGATGTGCGGGTTCAGGCTGCTGTGTATCACCACGCTATGGCGCTGTCGAGCGATCAGCGCTAACATGTGTTGGCATCGCGAGAACTTGGAATGGTACAAGCCCATATTTTAGATACATCTGGCATTGAATTCGTGCCCCAACGTGGTGATAGCTACCTAGGTATAATTATGGACGATCGTGGTGAAGTGTGAGCGAACCTTCCAAGGTCAGGATGCTTAGTAATAATGACATCATCGGCTTTTATTCCTCCCGCGTTCTCCTCTAGGGCTGTTGTGCCTAGGTGGAGAAGCTGCAAGTTCCTACAACCACAATGATCCTACCCTGCTCTTTACATCAGCATCTGTGAACGTTTCGACCTGGTATTGCTTCACCATATCTAGTTTGAAGATTGAGCGCAGCTCACCGAGCCTGGCGCGTCACAACCTGGAATGCCCGCGATGTTTGCGGCAAACACGTATGAGGATGATCGTATCTTCACAGGCCGACGCTTGACATGCATAATCATCGACACAACGTGGGTATTGGAAGCCGCCCTGGGGATTCCATGATTAGGCATCACACCAAGAGCACGCCCGCAGTACAAAACCGTCCTTTTCTATGCGCATGCCCTCACACTCGTACTTCTTGTATTGCTATCTATCATCTTCCTCCTCGCATCATTTTGATATCCCGATTTACCTTTTTTATCTTGCGACATGATCACTTTCCATATTACAGGCCGATTTCGCCGTAAAGTGCTGGATCGTCCGCACCCGATGTCAATTTTTAGGTTGGCAACTTACCCTGACGATGAACTGATCATGGCTTTTCATATCATACTAGAAGAGATAGAAACCTTACGAAGCAAAAGCATCCTCGGCTTCTCGTTCTTTGCTGACGATTTGGTGGAAACCGCTCAGAACATTGTGGATCTGGTGTTCAGGAGTCATGGCGGATGGGCTTTCCTTCAGCTTGGACAGCACCAGCAGTCCTTCCTCCAGCAGCTGCAGCAGAATCACTCTTTCAACTTGCCTCAACCGAACTTCTTCATCAATCAGCAGATACCAGCACCAGCGATGATTGGCCAGGCTCCCACCCAGAACGTCGTAGTGCACTCACATGTAGCTTCAGCTCCCACCCAGAACGTTGTAGTGCACTCGCATGTAGCCCCTGCGCCCGCTCAAATCCAAGGGCCCTCCGAACAAGACAAAAACGAGCTTCATCTCGACCGACTCAACAAAGAAAACGATCGCAACGAGAAGTTGAAGAACAGGTACGAGGATGAACTAGCAGTGAAAGAGCGAGCCAGGTTGGAAGCTGAAGCGAAGAAGACGATTGAGGCAGCGGAGGAGAAGGCTCGTAAGTTAAAGGAGGCCGAGGAAAGATTCGAAAGGAACAAGATTGAAAACAATTTGAAAGAGGACACAATTCTGCGCATTGACGAAGCGAAGAGCAAACAAGACGAACTGGACCGTAAGACGCGCGAGATGACGGAGAGGACAGAGCAGCAAAAGGTTGATGCTGCACGAAGGTTTGAGCGAACACGTCAGGAAGCAGCCGCGAAAAGGGAGCAGCAGAGGCGAGAGGAGGAGAAGCGGGATCAGGAGAGACAGCGACAGCTCGATGCGTCCAGAAACCGAACAAATGACTTGAATAGTCAATCGTACAATCAGCAGCGCATGCTACCGGAACGCGAAAGACCACGAAAGTCCTCCCCGGTTCCACAAAATCGACTCGTTTCTGACGACGACGATGACGACTCCGATAGCGACGATGAAAAGCGGAAAGATCCGTACGAACTTATCGGGCTGCCCGACAGAGGGCACACATCAGTCAAAGACATCGAAACTACCCAACGAGTGTTGAACAAGATTCATCAAAAGACTCTCGATACTGCAATGTCAGACTCCAAGAGACAACATGCTGAGAAACGTATGGTCGAAATCAAGTGGGCAGCGGCCATTCTCTTGGACGAAATGAACAAGAGGGCTTATGATGAGGCTGGTGCTATATTTCCTCATGAGCAGCAGGCTTGGAGGAAGAAGAGTAAGTGAACCTCCCGATCAATGAGACAAAGACTAATCGACATGAGTGTAGATGGCATCAGTGGTGCTGGCGGTAGGAAGTAGATCTCTGGGTAGAGTTTCAAGTTTTTTCCTTGTCTGAGATAGCCATAGTCATGTTCCGATGGTATATTAAGCATTTGATCTGTAACATCACTTTATTATTACAAAAGCGCATCATCAGTAGTGACAAGAGGTTTGCTTGACAATGTAGACGAAGCTGGTTGTTGCCGCCAACACCACAGCAAATATGATAATTCTTACCCGAACGATCATGACAGCCAACGAAGCCAGGCTATTTCTATCAAGCGGTAACTGGTGTAAAAATGTCGATAGTGTTCGTGTTGACAGCACTGTTGTCTGTAGCCGGTAAAATGGAAGGACTCTTCATCATTCCAAGCTCAGAAATGAGATAGACGACCGATGCTTTTGACAGTATAACTGCCCCTTGCTGCACAGCATTTCTACCCCCTTTATCTTACTCTCGCCTAATTTCCATACATCAGAATGTACCATATCGACATGAACAGCCCGCCAACAGCAGGCATTCGAGCAGACCTCGAAAGCCCTGCATTACCTTCCGCGGCACTAGGCGCGAATGGCGGGGCTCTACAGAATGCGTACGAAGCAGAGCCACTGCAAGATTTTGACCACGAGAGGGTCATTTTTGCGTCTTGGGGTCCATACCAGACAGTGGACCAAATGCGCGCCTCACCATACTACACTTGTATCCGACTACCCGTAGGCTCAGACACCATGTTCGCACCTCCTCTAATTCCCGACCCTTCGCCAAGTTGTGAACTTGCTATGGTGGGATCAACTGTAGCTGGATTTGAGAGTCGCGATATACATGCTGATGAAACATAGCCGGAACAGTATGTGACTCTCCACGCCGTTCACCCGGTACCAACGCGATATCTACGAAGCCTCGCGCAAGATCAGTTGGAATTCTTATTCGGCTACTGGACTGAGAAGAGAATTCAGCCTGATGGTGAGCTTGCTAGACGGATGTGTGAGACGGTGGAGGCTATCGGGCAGATCATGCATGAGGAGGAGGATGTATTCATGTGATTGTAGGGCTTATGTTAGGCATGGTTAAGGGTCCGTGTTATCATGTACCGCGTATCCTTAATTGAAACTTCTCTTGATTAGTTCGCTGTGGGCTTCAACTGTCCCATGACGCGTTCCCTCTATTTCTCGATCACATTCGTGGGACGAACTATATCCAGCGACCAAGTCGAAAGGCCATGCTCCCGATATACGTATTGCCAGCGAACAAGATCGTATTCTGGGAAATTTGTCAAGATTGATAGACGCTGCTCCCTTGCGAGAGCACTAGTATGGCGAGTAGCATGAGCAAGCAGCGTGACAAGTATTGGTTTGGTTTGGTTTGGTGAAGTAAACAGTGCCAAGCTCTTGTTGTCAAAAGCCAACGATCATCGAGAGTCCGTCGAGGTAGCGTTCATTGACTTGATTCAGACCAGGAAAGAAACGTGCAAAGCCAGCAAGGCTGTGGCGGCCAACAAACTCTTGCAAACACTTGCATTGTATCAAGAGCTGTTGTCAATAGCAAAGTGGTAGCGGCATGCCTATAAAGTCAGTAGGAAGGCAGCTTCTTGCTCTATACAACCAGCTTCATCAATACCTTTCTGCACCTACAATTATTGCCATACTGCAAAGCGCATCAAAGCATCAACATCGAACATACGTCCATATATCGATACCGAAACACCTTACAACATGAGCAACCCAACCATCACACCCATGCCGACTCCCGGCCCCGAGACTCTCGCGCAGCCCTCGACCGCACGCCCTCTAGTCGAACTTCCGAGCCGCCCTTCCGCGCGTGGCGCATCCAGTGGAGTTGCTTCAGGCACCGCGCCCGGCCTGATCGCGCCCACTCGCCCCATGCAACTGTGGAAGTTTACCTCCCAAGACTTCGAAGAAGTCGTTACTTTGTGGAGCGGCTATACCACCCGTGATCTCGTCGTCGAGTCCCCTTTCTACACCAAGACGACCATTATAGTGGACCCCCGCGCAAAGGCCCAGTTCCCCGACAAGAGCGAGATCACCGAGCGAGTTGTGCACGCTGTACACCCGATCCCTCGCAAGCAGCTTCAGAATCTGGGTCCGGTTTGTCTGCACAATCTAGGCGCGGGATTGGAGGAGGAGCGATGGGATGTCGATAGGTCTCCTGAGTTTAACGATCGTGTGCAGGAGACTTTGGCTCGTATTGACGACGCGTTGGAGTTCATTTTCCGTGTTCATTTGCCGGGTACTCGGATCTTTAGCGGAAGACAGCCTTCTGTGTTGTAAGTTTGAGTGATGATCAGGATGGGAGTTGGTGGGGGGAATTGAGCGAACGTGCTTGCTGCTTTTGCACAACAGCTCGATTGGCGGTACCACGTACTCGATAACAGATAGCTCTAGTGCATAAGCTGCAATCAATGAAATATGGGTCAATTGACCTCTCAAGACCTAAGTTTCGTGAGGATATGCCCCGGACTGGTGTGATTGTTCGCGGTAAGTGTCTACCCAGTGCATGCCACGCGCGTCATTGCGCGCCGGCGCCAGGAGACCGGAAGTACTGGGTGCGATCGCGAAATCTGGTGTTTCAATAGCTGGATCTGGATCTTCGGGAGAGAGCACCAGTAGATGTATCGTGTCTGACGTGATGGTACGTAGTCTCGATGGACCGAGCAGTCGCGTCGACGCGTCACATCCGCGATCCTTCTGAGCCTCGGTCCGCTGCTAGCGCATGCCATCACAGGAGCCACTACCTCAGTCTTATGCGCGAGTTGACGTGAAAGCTATAAATGTGTATAGGTAGAAACCGGTATCTGAACCATACCCACCATAAACCCGAGACGCCTTGTCCTTATTGCCTGTACCAAAACACCCATCGCTGATGCATACCCCTAAAACCCAGAACCTATCCCAGTCCATCCCAGATCATTCCACCCATATACGCCATTCACAAATTGCCGATAACAACCATGAATCTCAGTTTGCCATCCGTCTTCTTGCTTGCAGCTGGGTTGGCACCAGCCAGGGTATCATCTCCGCCGTTATTGATCGTGATTTCGTCCAGCATCAAAGTGCTGCTCTTCCATCCCCAGCTCTGACTGAAATTGAAGCGGTCAGGCGCGCTTTCGTAGATGCTGAGCATCCTTCCGCCCTTGGAGGGGCTATAAATCTTGAAATAGGTTTTGATTGTGGGTCGGCCGTCGACATAGGGAGGGAGTGCGGGTGTGACGGCTCGCGTTTTACGTTGGACTCTAGAGGCGAGAGAGGGGTTGATGTAGGCGGCGGCGTCTGACTCGTCGTCGTCATCGGATGGGTCGGAGTCGTGTTCAGATGGCGAGTAGGGGGCGTTGGCGAAGGAAGGAGAGTCTATGGTATCACCATCTTGAGGTGGTGAAGAAGCCAGGTTTTGGAAGCCCCATTGTGGAATGCCACGAGTGGGTAGACGACTGCGATGGCGGCCAAGACTGCCGCTAGAGAAGAGTGGGTTGCGCAGTCCCAGAGAGCCGAGAGCAGGGTCGGGATCCCCACCACTGCCAGAGGTGTCCTCTTCTGCAGCAGGATCCATGAACGGAACTCGCGTGCTGCGCCGCCGGTCACGTCGATCACTACGCATGAGCATCTCGCGTTCTAGCTGGCCGATACGCTCATCAACTGAACCGTTGTTCTGTTGGCTCAGACCACTGACATGTCCAGTCTCATCTACCTCTCGCTCCTTGGCACGGTGGAGATATACACCCAACTGGATGTTTTTGGCAGAGCGAACTTTCTGGATGTAGATGTTCCACAAAGAGCCTGCGTAGGAAACCGTCCTCGAATAGACGCGTTTCTTCTCTTTAAGGAATCGTGGATTAGGAAACTCAGCCGAGAAGCGGAATGGAGGAAATTCGGTATAAGCGATTGGTTTTGGCTGACCAGCGTTGCCGCCACCAGCAGAGATTGGACGTTGTGCAAAGTCCATGCGAGTATTTGGGTTCGTTAACGTCGACGGAGTAGAGGCAAAGTCGGTGGCCCATTGCGCGTCCTCTGGTTGTATCGTGGCTGAAAGACGCGAAGCATGGCGCTGAAAAGAGTTGGATGTCGTGACAACGGGATCCGCACCGTTTCCCAAGACGATGTTGCAGTCCGAGCTTGGGATCCAAAACTTGCGTGGCTTTCCATTGCCGTCCCAACTATCCGATTCGATGTCGCCTTCGTCAATAGGATCAGCTGACACTTTTTGCTTTCCTTTGTTACTAAGCTCGCTTCCAGTCTTCGTCGCCACATTCGCTTCTTCGGGATCTGGAGTTGATTGGCATAGGCCTAGCTCTTGGGCAGACTCGTCGGTATTCAGCACCCTCTGGCGAAGAGCCAGTTGCTGCCATAGCGCATTGGAGATGACCCTTTCGGGCATCACTGGTAGGCCAAACACGTCGCGAGCATTCCTGATAAACTCAAGCTGCTCGTATTCCATGTGAATGTAATGGATACCTTCGTCTAGCAGCACGAGTATGCGCTCAATGTCCGGTAGAGTGTAGAGCGCAAGCCAGTCAGCCTGCGCGTCGGATGAGGAATGCGCCGTTGTCAGGGCGTTTTGGCGATAAACACCGTCGAAGCGAACTGCCATAAGACGAAGAGAATTGGGTGCTTGTGGGATGGGCCTCTGTCCCCGCTGGATAAGACTAGCCTCGATGGCTGCTTGACGAAGCCGGCGGTCAAGAAGACGCTTGGAGAGTACCCAGCGGTCCCACTCGCTGTCCACAAAGAACCCGTCGGACCCTACGAGCTCACGGACTATGTCACCAGGCATATCGTCCCAGTATTTAAGAGGCATCTCCCAACCGTTCCTGCTTAGCATCGCCTTGGCCGACTCAAGTATGCGGTCTCCAGATCGGCCATAGTAGTTGGAGGTGACCAATCGGATGAGGAAGGCGAGCGTCTCCGGTGCCATCTGTCGCAGGATAGATTCGATCGCGGAGTCGATCAGATCCTGCATCTCTAGCCAGCAGCCAGTCGCGAAGAGACCAATTGCTTCAGCGTCCAATTCTTTCGAGATGTCGACGCCATAAAGTTTACGTATAGCCAACTCGAACGATGCCTGCGTAATGCTGGAATCGATCTCTTCCGGGTGTAGTTTGACTTCCTTGGACCGGCTTTCGAGCCATGGCTCGGAGAGGGCGGTCGTGAAGAAGGGTGCGCGGTCGAGGATGAGGCGGTGCAGAGGATATCGCTGGCCAAAGGCGATGATGGTAATGTCCGAGTGTCGGCCTTCGAGCAGCCCGCGGGTGTAAAGGTGGTCAGGGAGTGGTATGGCTTCGCCTGAAACTGACAATGTTAGCCTGCACACACGAGAATCTCATAGCAATACTCACCTCGCAAATACAGTGGCCCCGTCGCGTTGTTGTAGGAAGGTGCCCTAGTTCCAGGCATGGCTGCGCTCTCGCTAAACAACCTACTGATGTCGGTGCGAACAGAGTGCTCTGCACGCATCAGGTCCAGCGTCGTGCGCCTTTTGCCTTGTTCTTCCAGCGGGGTGTTTGGATCATCGGCGCTCTTTTGGGCTTGGTCTATCCGGGTTTGGAGCTGAACTATGGGCGGTCGTTCCTCTTGACCGTGAGCTCTAGAGGCACGCGATGTCATGCTGGAGTAGTTGGCCAGCGACGGCATCGAGCGCGAGTAGCTGAGAGACCTGGAGTGGCTCACGTGTGTCCTGGGGCTACCGGTGACGTCGGACGGCGCAGATGGTGGTATGGCGGGTACATTGGGCGAGAAGAGGCTGACGTATGGGGTACTACTCGAGCCTGCGCCGCCCTCTGTACGCTCTCCCTCGCCCAACGGCCATGTTTCGTTGCGCTCTAATCCACCAATTTGCGGCTCGTTCTCATGATCGAGGTTGTTGCTCCCGTGACCGGTGGGTGGTTGATGGGCGGGATCCATGCTATGCTATAAGCTGCTTTGGAAGTACATGGGGCGTGGTGGTCGACGACGGCTGGGTATGCGACCGGAGCGGGTGGGGTAACGCAGTGCACGCCGGGTCTAATAACACGGGATGGTCACGTACGCAAAAGAGAGACGGTGAAAGTCATATAGGAGAAGGGAAGATAGCGGTCGCAAAATACGGTGGAGGCTGGGCGCATCACGCTGCCAGCACGGCAGACGCCAAATGGCGATCTTCACTAGGAGGGGTCCGGTGATGCAGTTGCGAACCTGCGGAGTGGGTCGTCGCTGCCGCCTGTCAACGGGCGTGGATATGCAGGGTTCGTTCTTGGCGCGCCGCCGCGCCGTCGAACCACCGAAGAGTCAAAGTCGATGACCTAAACACTTGCTGCTCTTGAAACCTCCTCCCTCCTCCCCAGATGTCGCTGTAATGGCTTCAATATTCCAGGCATTTCCGCAGCTGCGGACTGCCGCTCCACGCCTCTCACGACGCCTCTTCGTATGCAGGCCATGCCTCAATTCGCCGATTCGAGCCGCCGTCTCCGCTTCACGATCTTCATCCCGACCCTCCGTCCTGCAATCGGTGAGGTGGAAATCCACCCAGCCTCTCCGCAGTACCGCGACCATCGAGGGATCCAATGCGGGAAGGGCGATACTGGCGGAAGCTGCGACCAAGACTGAGAGCCAGTCGAGCAGCTTCCCCAAAACAACCTCCAAGAGCGTCGCATACTGGCTGCTGGGCAGTGCTGCGAGCGTTTTCGGTATAGTCGTGTTTGGAGGTCTGACTCGTCTCACAGAGTCTGGGTAGGCAACGACGTCACCTCCTCCACCGCACCTGCTAAGTTGAACAGGCTGAGCATCACCGAATGGCGCCCTGTCACCGGCTCCCTCTGGCCCATGAGCCAGGCCGAATGGGACAGCGAGTTCACCAAATACAAGGCATCACCTGAATTTGCCCAGCTCAACTCGAGCATGGATATGGCCGACTTCAAGCAGATCTACTTTATGGAATGGGCTCATCGTCTTTGGGGTCGCGTCATTGGCATCACAATGCTCGTACCAACCGCCTACTTCATCGCACGTCGCAGGGTAGCACCCTCGATGGCCTGGAAGCTCGTCGGCATCTGCGGCATGATCGGCTTCCAGGGTGTTATCGGCTGGTGGATGGTTAAGAGTGGGCTCAAGGATGACCTCTTTGAACCTGGTAGCCACCCCCGTGTCAGCCAGTACCGCTTGACTGCCCATCTGGGCGCTGCATTCACCGTCTACTGCTCAATGGTTTACACCGGTCTCTCTATTCTCAAGGAGCACCGTATGCTGGCCGACCCGGTCAAGGCGGCAGAGACTATCAAGACTCTGCAGCACCCTGCACTCCGCATCTTCAGACGCTCTGTCTTCGGTCTTACTCTTCTCGTCTTCACTACTGCCATGTCAGGTGCCCTTGTCGCTGGTCTCGATGCCGGTCTCATCTACAACGAGTTCCCGTGGATGGGTATGGGTCTCACTCCACCCAGGAAAGAACTCTTCGACCCCTTCTACAGCCACGTCCCAGACCAATCAGACCTGTGGTGGCGCAACATGCTCGAGAACCCGTCTCTCGTTCAGCTCGACCACCGCATGCTCGCAACAACTACCTTCACTGCCATCATGAGTCTCTTCGCATACACTCGCTTCGGCAAGGGTGTGCGAACTAAGCTTACCAAGGATGCCCACAAGGGTGTTCAAGGCATGGTTCATCTCGTCACTCTTCAAGTCACCCTCGGCATCAGCACCCTGATCTACATGGTCCCTACGTGGTTGGCTTCCGCACACCAAGCTGGCGCTCTTGCCTTGTTGACTGGAGCGGTCGTTTTATGCAGCAGAATCACTATGCCACGCCGCGCTGTCCTTCGCCAGATTATGAAGCCACAGAGTGCGGGATCCCACACTGCTCCTCATATGAGGTCAAGACTCGAGGCCGCCAAGGTTGCCGAGAAGTCATTGTAGTATACGTCCCCACCTTGTACGATATGTAGGTTCGCACATCATATAGACTATATCACCTTTCCTTGGTTCTACGTTCACTCTGTCTTTCGCTTGTCTTTCGTCTTATGACCGCAGTGTATGCGGATGCTTGATATAGACATCAATCCATCGCATAGGTCAAAGGTGAGTATGACTACTGACACCAAGTGTTTGATCTTAATGCTCATACTAAGTACTCGATGGTGGAGGAGCGCAGTCACATCGTCCCAGCTGGAATGCCGGTGAGGACTAGTGTACCGTGTGCTCTGCCTTCTCCGTCGTATGTCCGGCCTTGTTACCGCTGGACACACTCCCTGTCTCTACCATAGTCGCAGGATCGGTGCCGACCGCCTGTTCCCACCCTTCCTTCGCAATACGTCGGCTTCGCTTCACGACATCACCTTCGTAGAATAGCCAGTCGACCTCTTCCAACGTAAGATTGGCAGTCTCGGGATAGCAGAAATACTGCAGAACACGTCAGCGAATGGAAGTTGATATCGTTTCGAATACATACGATCAGCGGTATGAATGCAAAATTCAGTGCCATGAAGATAAGGTAGCCCTTCCACGCCAAGCTATCGAGAAGCGTAGGCGTGACCATAACGACGAAGAAATTCCAGATCCAGTTCGCAGAGATACCGACAGCAGTACCTTTCGCTCGTACATGTAGCGGTAGGATCTCAGGTACATAGACCCAAGGAATGCAATTCATTGTCATACCAAACGCCAGCATGTACTAAAATTTGTTAACTTCTTACTTCCAATGCGACGAGCAGTCTGCTTACAGTGAAGAAGAAAGCGACACTGGCGGACGCAGTGGCTTGCGACACGTCCCCTCCTTCAGACCGGAAGCTCAAAAGGATGGCTATCATCATCACGGAGAAACCGAGCCCAAGAGAACCCCACATCATGGGTTTCCGCCGGCCGGTGCGGTCCAGTGTGAAGGTTGGGAAGAGAGAGCCGATTGGGAACATTAGGTTGATGACGCCTCCCATGAGGAGGGCGAGGTTTCTGTTGAGGCCGACATTGTCTTCTAGGACTAAGGTGATGTAGTTGTTAGATAAAACTAGAAGCTTCTAGTTAGAGGGTAGATTTATATTATAGTAAATATAAACACTACTTCTTAAGTATATAAAAGAGGTAAGGCTTTACTTTACTCTATTATTTTATTCTATATTAATTTATTAAGTTTAATAAGTTATAAGTCTAGAAGTTTCTACTATACTAATTATATCTAATAGAAACTCTCTTAATAAGGTTACTACTAACTTTACTATTAAACATATATTCTTATATAAGATTACTAAGCTTATTAGATAGACTAACTTTACTAAATAAGAATAAGATATTAAGATTATTACCTAATACTTTAACCTCTAGAATATTCTTAATAGTAATAATATAAATATTAATAAATCTAACATTTTTATATACCTATAAGCTATATATAAGAAAGTTAAAATTAATACTTAATCTACTCTAGATAAGTATAGAAACTTTATTATAGAAGTAGAGGTTAATAAAAATAACTCTAAGTTCTACTAGAATATTATAATTAAAAGAGCTAAGAAGTAATATAAGAGTACTCTATATAACTATAATAAATATAATAAAAAAACTAATTAAGCACTTACACTTCTTAGACTCTATATCTTAGACTTTATTTAATTAGTTTTAAATAAGTATACTAATTTTATAGATATCTAAATATACTTTAAAAAATAATATTAACTTAGTAACTACTAAAATAAGTAAATTCTCTATAAAACTATTAAATTACTCTACCTAAAGAACTATAAAAACCTTAATAACTTTTTTAGTTAGCTAGAAGAGAATATTATTTATCTTTAAGAACTAGAGAGTATATATAATATAAGCGCTCTTTAAGCTAAGATCTTCTATTCTCTTACTCTAGAGTTTAATAAAACTATTTAATTTATAAATATACTATATAATAGATAAGATATTAAGTAGTCTTACTTAAATAATATTAAATAATAACTCTAAGACACTAAAATTAATATCTATTAAAATAAAAAAGATTAGAAAGAATAAAAGCCTAATAATAAGAAAAATAATAAAGATTATTATAATAAAAAGAATTAAGGTAAAAAATACTCTATATAAAAATATAGAGAATATAATTACTTTTAAGATAAGTACTTTATTAAGTATCTAGAACTTAAACTAGATTAGATAAAGCTAAAGAATAAAGTATATAAATAAAAAAACTAGAATAAGATATTTAATAAATAAATTAGTCTTATATTTTACTCTACTAAGATTACTAAGATTATAAAAGTCTAAAGCTTCTATACTAACTATTACTTATTTAATATTATAGACTAGCCTTAGAGTTAGAATATACTAAGTATTAATAGAATATTATAAGGCTTAGAACTTAAAAGGCTATATATAGAATCTAGAGGTTTATATAGTAAGTCTAGACTTTACTTATACTTTCTTTATTCTAGCTTAGACTTAGGTAAAGCTTAAGACTATTATATACTCTCTAACTTACTCTTACTATATTAGTTTAGAGAGTAGTATAGTATTATAAAAAATACTTTTATATTAAAGTTATAAGTCTAATAAGTAACGCGTAAAGATAAGTTTATATATATAAAGTTTTTAAACTATATAAAAATTTTACTTATATAACTTTTACTATATCTATATATAAAGTTATAATAACTCTAAACTATATCTAGACTAAAGTTATATTATAATTTTTTATAATTATAATATAGCTTTATCTAAGATCTTACTTATACTTTAATATAACTTACTTTTATTTTTACCTACTTTAAATTCTTTACTTTATAACCTCTATACTAGCTTTTTTTAAAAACTTATTAATTCTAGACTATATTTATACTTTTTACTATATAGTTTTATATTATCTCTACCTAGTTAGTAGCTCTAGTACTACTTACTTTTACTAGTTCTTTTAACACGCGTAATAGTAGCACTAGTATTACTACTACTAGCGCTCTTAGTAGCTAAGATTTAAGAAAGCTAACTAGTTTATCTAAATATAGCTTCTTCTTTAATACTAAAGTAAAAGCTTTAATTAAGTTTAAACTATACTTTAACTAATATATAATAGAGTAAGTATTACTATATAGACTAGTTTAAAGTAGAAAAAGATTTTAATAATTTAGAGTTTACTAAGCCTAATACTAAAAAGCTTCTATATATACTATATATTACACTACTTATAAAGTTTAAAAAGTATAAGTATAAACTTAGTACTAGTTTATTCTATTTAAGTTTCTATAAGAGTTTAGACTATAAGCTAATTTTTTCTAAGTTTTTTTTATTTATTTTATAGCTACTATAAAGTAAAGTACTTAAAGTATACTTTAAAGTTCTCTATTAACTTTAAACTTTACTATATATTTTATAACTAGAACTACTATATCTAGGTATATACTAAGCGTAGAAACGCCTATATTATAAATTCTAAAACTTATAGTACTATATAGCTTATATTAAAAACTATAGCTAAGTTTACTCTATACTTTTATATTCTTTATTATTACTTTAAATTAACTCTTACTACTACTAAGTAGAGCTTTAGTTTAGCTATACTTTATAAGCTTTCTATATAGTAAAAGTATAAAGCTTTATATTCTACTAATAACTAGCTCTCTCTTTTTAACTTCTTTTAGAAAAATATAGCTATCTTTATAGTATTTAAATATAGCTTTAATAATTTTAATAATCTAGTATAATTTATTAATAGCGCTCTAAACATTATTAGTAGTTAGTTTTAGTAGTAGAAGAATATATTTAGTTAGATTATAGTATAGGTTTTAACTTTCTCTATACTATCTATATACTAACTTTTATTAAAACTAACTTTAGCCTACTATACTCTTATAGTACTACTACTAAATTAATTATCTACTTTTAACTAGCTTTAAGTTCTAATATAAAGCGCGCTAAATTAATAATTAGCTTAAGAATAGATATAATTTAGATAATAAAAAGTATAGAGTTACTACGCGCTATACTTACTACTACTTTAACTTTTTTTATAACTACTCTTAAACTACTAGAAATACTAATTACTAAAGCTACTATTATATTAATATCTAACTTAGTACTATACTCTTTCTAAACTTTTATATATAAGCCTCTTCTACTATATATAAGTAGTATAGTACTTTTAAGTACTATACTTTTATACTTATCTTTATATAGAATTCTATAGAGTTTTATATAAAAATAGTCTACTATAGCTCTAAAGTTTATAATATTATTAAGAAAGTTTAGAAAAAGCTAATAAAGAATATAGCTAAGTAGCTTAGTAGATCTAGATTAGCTCTAGACTATACTTTAACTACTAACTCTTTTACTTCTAACTACTTTTAGTATACTATTATAATTTTTTTCTATAAGAATATATTTAAGTCTAATATAAGTAAGAATAGTAATATTTTTCTTTTCTAAATTTCTTCTAACTTACCTTTTTCTAAGAATAACACTTTACTTAATAATAGCCTACTATCTTTATACTATAACTATAATAAATACTATTATAATAAGAAAAGTTTACTAGTTTTAGAACTACTTTAGAACTAGATAGTTACTAATAGTAATTATTTAAAGCTATCTTAGCTCTAGAAAAAGTAACTTTTTTTTAAAAAAAGCTACTTTTATATAAAAAAAATCTATAGTAGTAACTAAAGTAGAAACTACTAAAAGTTAAAAAAAACTTTTTAAGTCTAAGAATAAGTTTATAATAAGTAGTAGTAATCTAAATATATAAATCTATTATAAAATAAAAAAGAACTAAGTAGATTAAATATTTTTCTAGCTTAAGTTTATAGAGTATTTATAGAGCCTACTATTCTTAAAATTTATAGTATATACTAGATAGTATAAGCTTAAGACTATTAAATTAACTTCTTCTTTATAAGCCTAAGACTAAATTTATAAAGTACTTTTTCTTTTCTTATTATACTATACTAGTCTATTATAAGAATATATATATCTCTATATTTAGCTTTAAAATAATCTAAAGTCTTAGTTTTTAATAGCTCTAGTAAGTTAACTTATATTAGTATAATATAGCTAGCTTATTTTACTAAAGCTTTTCTCTAGCTCTAATCTAGAGTATTCTTTACTTAGAGAATCTCTTTAACTATTTACTTACGTAAGTTTCTATTCTCTTTACTTAGATTTACTATAGGCCTAGACTATATATCTATTAAAGGTTAGCTTAGTAGAGAATCTACTATAGCCTATTCTACTAGGTCTATATAAATAGTTTTATATAGATTTTTAAGTAAGTCTAATATAACTATAAGTAGTAATAGTATAGCTATTACTATATACTTAGCCTAAAGCTAGTTAAGCTTTTTACTTAAGTAGTTTATTTTAATATTATATATAGAAAACTATACTTTATTACTAATTTAGAAACGCTCTATAAAATATTATAATTAATTAGTTATTTTTTATTACTATTACTAAGTAAAAGTAATTACTACTTAGGCTAGATTAAGCTCTAACTTTAAGTACTTTATAAACTAGACTATGTAATCTTTAGGCGTATATATAAACTTATCTAGTAATAAAACCTACTATAGTGTATCTACTATATACTTATTAAGTAATAAGTTTAGACTTACTTTAGTAACACTAAAGTTATAATTATTTAAAGCTAGCTAGTACGCTAAAAAATAATCTAGCTAGTTAGTTTACTTAAAAGTTACTATTATATATAATATAGCTTATACCTTTTAGTTTATTTACTTTATACCTCTATTAGTCTAGAAGTAGTAGAATATTAAAAGAAGCTACTTTACTTTAGTAAGTTTATATAAAGTAGTTTAGAAAGCTTCTAACTAGTCTAAGCTATAGTCTATAATTAAGGCTAAGAGAAATTTATAAAAATACTACTAGTAATTATAAAATACTTATATAATATAGTTTAAAGCTATAAAAGTAACTACTTTTAACTAGATAAACTTAGATAGCTAAT